TGGTGGTCGTTGCACTTAGCTACAACTAGCTAGTTCTCAGGCATGCCGCCTGAACTGAAAGAAAGAAATGTTTCAAATAAACATAACAGGCTTAAAAATCCCAACAGATGGGAGGCATATCAGTTGGCTATTTACAAGCATGACCGAGCAGCTGAACTACGGTTTACCGAGAAACAACTCCAGCCTAGTGGTCAGAGCGGGACTTGAAGCCGCGACCTCCGGATTTCAAGTCCAGCGCCCTAACCACTCGGCCACGCTGCCTCCGTGATACAACGAACCCGCACAGAACGGACCTTCCGATCATAAAACGAACCTCACCAACAGCAACAACAAACCCCAAATGGAAACACAACTTTGAAACACTCGATCAAGTGCATTGATGAGAGCTCGAAAGTTCTTGTCAGCAAAGCCTAACACAAACTTTGAAGTTCTACCGAACTTACTGGAGTGTTAAGATCAGCAAAATGTCCATACGCGAATGCGTATACTCACCATGTTAGCAATAACAAGAAGAATGGTTTGGAATTTATTTGAACCATACTTTTCTTCGTAGCTTTTGGGGACAATTAATGCTGCTTCCAAATATTTATAGCTACTACTGCTGGTTTCGCGAGTTGTCCTTTCATGTGTAGATCTCTTTAAGCGATCGTTACCTGAAAAAGAACATGCTCTAAGGCTCGAGTCTTCCTTCAAAGAACATCCAGAAAAGTGAAACATAGAAAAGCTTAAAGGACCTAGGCCATCATTGGCTTGAAACAATAGTAACGACGGCGCGTCTTCAAATAATGGGCTGATGTTTTCAAGTTTGTCGTTAAAGAAGATGGGAAAGAAGAAGTAAGAAGTTTAGAAAGGAGTGTGATTAAGTTGATTAAGTTGATTAAGCAAAACAATACCCCACCATCGTTACAAAACAGAAAAGAATAATGATTGATCTACACCAGTTAGAGGTCAATATGTTTTGGTTGTAAACTCAACACCTGTATGTATTTTAATTAAACTTGAACAATTATTAATTCCAATTTAATTATCTATGGTTTGGGAAGCGGCCAATAACATGATTGACAAGGCACATGTAAATCTTGAGAACCAGGCTTTTACCAAAGTTTCTTGCATTATAGCCAAAGATTTATATAGTTACCTCGGTAAGCAGCAAATCATCTTGCAATAGCCATTCGGGATAGGGGACAAAATTCCTAACAGGCTAAAAAACGTAACCAACCTGACGTCTTCGTTTGACAGCCTGATGCCTCAGGATTTCCAGGTGATAGTTTATAAATCAGATGCGGTGAGGAGTCAGTACTTCTTCTCACGCGCTTAGCCAAGTGTGCAGGTAGAGGTTGTACAAAAAATAAGTCACGTGACGTCCTTATCATACCTGACTGATAAAACAGAACATAAAATACAAATACTGGTACCTTTCTAATATACTGTACTCTATAGGACATTAACAATGAAAAAAAAGATACTAAATAAAATTCATCAAGTATGCAAGAATCGAAAACGTGAAATGGCCAAATGGGAATTAGCTTTGAAAAATAGCATAAAATAGCTCATTAAGGGGGCTTCGGCCCAAATGGGATCTGGAAAACCAGTAGAGTTCTGGGAACAGGATTAAGCTAGGTCAGTTTAATTTACGTGACTTTGATAAAAAAAGCTATCGTAGTATACAATAAAATCTCTAAATAATGTTTAACACCTACAGAAAAAAGGAATGGAGTAACTCGAAAGTCACAAAGAAGCTCGGTTGGTCAATGAGATAAACCTAATTTTAGCTGACATAACGTGGCCAAAAAAAGGTCTGTTGTCAGATGGGTAGACTGAACACCCCACGCTTCTGAAATAGTTTTCAAATAAGATGTGTTAAGAACCAATAAGCTTCAATATTTTGCTTTAATCGGTCTTACCAGGATTCTGTCGCTTCTCAAAGCCACCAAAGAGTCTGGGTCAGATGACACTTTTCCTAAGTAGTATTTGTTCCTAGGTGCGGGATGAGTCGTTACCATACCCCCTCTATGATGCCTTTCAATGACTAAATTTGGTGACATGAGATTTAGATTTCGCTTTAATCTTAGCTGGAGTTTGGAGCCGAATGCATGCAGCTTATAGTGCAAAACATCTGGATGGTCAATACTCCGTCTGCGGCGAAAGCGAGACACAGCCCTTCCATTCGCCTCTGTTTGCTGTGGAGCTCTTACTTCATAATCGGGAACTTTAAAGAAAGAAAAAATAAACATCGGTTTCGTTTCGCCATGCGGAGACGCGTATTTCACTCGCTTAACGCGCGCATTCAGTCTACGTGTGTTTAATGCGGTTTTTAACGCGTTTTTAGACGCCTTCATAACACATGTCATGTACGTTGAATGAGTGAAGGCGTACTTCCTCTGTTAATAAACTACATTCATTTGTTTAATAACAACACCTCACCTGGCGAATTGTCAAAAAATACCTTAAAAGGTAGGTACATTCAAAAGTAGATAGAAACTAGGGACATACAAGAGTAGCCTAATCCACGCGTTCACTTACAGTCGCTGAGAAGCCGCCTAACCCATGGAGAACGCAAAAAAAACAAACAAACAAACAAAAAAAAACAAAAATGAAGAACGAGTGGTAAAAGACGACGGGGGTTTCCATAGATCTATCTCGTTCACGTTTTCTAATATATAAACATTGACAGCTAAAAAGGTACATGGCACTTACTTTCAGAAGGATCCTTAACACCAAAGTAATACTCTATTTCTCTCTTAGTCATGTGTTGGTGTAGATTCTAAGGGAGGAAAAAAATGTTTAAATAAAATGGGAGTTTAACCGGGCGTGATCACGTGACTTTCTCCTCGGAGTTCTGATTGTAGTCTCGGTCGCAGCTGTTACTAGAGACCTCACGCAAAACAATTCTCCCAATTGATCGCCATACATGCTTTTCTACGTAAGTGTTGAGAATCTGACAGTTTATCAACTAAAGATCATATCCCTGGTCCTTTTGATGGTTTTTCTTCGCAATAAGTGTTTTATCCAATGAGCGTTGGCAGTTCTTCTAGAGTGATTGTTCACCGGATTTAATTTTTTTTCCAGGAATTTTAGTATCAACTGAGATTGGGACTTACCTTTTTGGATTCCCTTCCTAACACAGCATCTAGAAATGAAAAAAGAAAACCAAAAACAAAAACAAAAACAAAACAAAAACAAAAACAAAAACAAAAACAAAACAAAACAAAACAAACAAACAAAATTATTTTGACACACGCACGTCATTTATAAAAGGCCGGATACTTTTAATACATAATTCACCGACGCAGAGAGAATACATGAGAATGGTCATCAATTCCAATCTTATTTTTTGTCCTTCAGGCTCAAGATCATGGTGGTATATACAGTTTCCCATATGAACTTTAAGCGGATGCATGTACAAGGCCCTTTAGCCCCAATTAGGACAAGAGATACCTCGTCTTCAAACGTAAGCCCAGTTACATCATTTCACCTTATCCTACCCTGCCTGTGAATATATGTAATACGCTTTTATTTCTTTGTCGTTTAAACTGAAGTAGTACATTGTTTACAATGCATTCAGCTGTGAAAGCAAGAATTGCGTACAGCGGTCCTGTTGAACAGAGTGAATGGTAAATTTTGGCATACATATTTTTTCTTTTCTAATTCATCTAATTTTAGGGTATGTTTTTCTAGAAGAATTATGGTGTTTTTGTCAAGGCAGATATCAAAAGGTAACCACCTGCAACAGAGCTATTGTGTCCTTGCTAACAGACTGAAAGCTAAGTATTTTGACTAGACGAGTTATCTGTGTGTAATAATATTCTTACCTGTATATGTGTATTTCAGAACATGCAGCACAATGAGGACGGACCAGATACACAGTGGATAAAGCATTCTGTACATTCTAAAAAGCAAAATGGGAAAATAATGTAAGTCTCACATAAGCTTGTCTCTTGAATCCCTAGACCTTTAACGAATAATCGGCAAACAGGAACGAGAATATTTGTTAACTAGTAGAACCTTGAATGCATGTGTAAATGAGGCTTAACAGATGCATACTGGAATGTGCACATTTGTTCAGAGGTTCATCTGCTTCAGAGCTAAGAAAATGGTGAAACGTTTACCACCTACAGGATATAATTTGTTAACCTGTTTCCGTTTCCAAAATTGTTCAGTTTAGACGTCGTTCATCGACGAAAGGTTTCCGTAAAAGATCAGTCCTTTACCACGCCGAAATTTTTGCTGTTGCGTTTTGCGTAAGAAAAACAGAACATTGCTTGGTTACAATAGTAAAATCCTGATATACCGAAAAAAAACAAAAAAAACAAGCAGCAACGGAAAGTATCTGCCTTTGATTGTATTTCTAATGAAGTGTAAATCACTGATCAAAGGATAATCTTTTACAGCCAAGCTTAGTTAAGATGCTGTAAGGAAAACGAATTAGCGGAATGTTTCAGTTAACTGCAACATTAAGCTATAAAACCTAAAATCATTCAAATTGACAAGACGACACCATATAAAGAAATATTAGAGAATAACATTTTCAGTTCACATTTTCATACATAGTTCCATGCATACTCTTGCATTATGTTTAGCCTCCTGTGAAATAAGTCATTTCTTTAAGATTCACGTACATGAAAACGAAACAGCAGCGGATGGAGAGGCGAAAAAGTGGTGCGGATTGTCGGAAAGTGGTCTTGTGGGATGATAATGTGTTACGTTATGTCATATTTGCATGCCAGCCAGCCAGTCAGGTCTGTCAGCCAGCCAACGTGTGTACTGTGAAAGCACCATATCCTAATTAATGTTCTTTTCAGAATTTCTTTGACACCGTGACTCACTGCATTGGCATTCGTTAAGGATATGAGACTAACAAAGAGTTAGGAAATGCAATACAAATCTTATATTGAGCTGCGTTGGTTTCTGTTTCCGGTCACATAAAACCATCAGAATAGTATACATTTCGCATTTCTTTGCAATTATTCAAAATAACGCAGCACTCGCTGTCACTTACCAAAGAAGTCAAAAGAAACTTCTAGATTTTGTTGTTTTCATGATCGTGCCATATAGGCAGGCAGAGATAATTATTAAGTGGATGTGTCCGCGACTAGTCCAGGTGTAGATGAATAATGAAATAATGGATCTTATGATGTTAATTTTCCGCTGGGCTCAAATATTAGTTTGCTGTTATATCGATCATAACTCAAAATGAGATTAACTGCTCTTAGAAATGCCCGTTACTGTGTCGTCACGCAATGCTTCATTAAAGCGCCGCGTGACAAGAAGAGACCAGTAGAAAGACTAAGATAAACAATACAATCTAATGCAACCTTCCAAGTTTTTTAACTATTAACTCGATTGTCGACAACTTGTTGTCAATTCCCCGAGGATAAGCCTGATAAATTTTTGCCTTGCGAGGGCAAGGGATAATTAAAAGACTGTTTAAACTCTCTGGCTTTGACCTTATCGCGCGCGCGGACAGTTTTCCGTTCGCGCGTTCTTTCGCGTCACGCTGCTCGGACTAAGAACAAAGACGAGCTACTCATGGTCTCTTTCATCTGTTTCAGTATAAACATTCCAACATGTGTGTGAAATACATGTCCCGTATCTTTGTTAGTAGCAGAATTTACGATAAGCCCAAAGAAAATACAAACTAACACTGTCTACGGCAAGAAAGCATGGCTTAGCTGTCCTGTGGTGCACGATGAGGATAAGAAAGTAAGTACGACAAGAATGCATCAAATTTCGCTGACTTTCTTACTTTTGCATGAAGCATTAACGCATCAGCTTTGTATTGATCCGAGGCAATTAACTGTGGCATCTAATGGGACTCTAATAAGGGAAAGAATTAGAAAAAGAAAGTACCTGTGAATTTGCACAGGAGCAGGCCAGCTGAAGTCACTGACTCCTGAGTCTGTAATGTTCAGTGCAGATATAAAATGATGCAAAGGGCTCAAAGATCTGGCCGGAATACTTGCACAATAGAATTGACAAGATACAATGCGAATTTGACTTTGAAAAGAATAAGTGCCGTAGTTAGCAAATAAACTAATTTAACAATCTATTCATGAGGAGAATGGATATCATACTATTTCAAAGAAACTTTTATTCAACCTATTCATTCGTTTCCAAATAATGTTAGAATAAACTAAAAAAAAGAAAAAAAAGCTAAATTGGAACTTTAAACTCTGAGTCCACTAATGAGAATATGCTTTCTTAGATGTAAAGTTAATTCCTTTTTTACTTAGAAATCAATAAAAATCGACACCTGTTTAACTTAGCAATATATAATCAATAGGAAACGTGTTTTTCTTATTTATCTTTCCTTATTTATCTGCGATTCCATTTTTGCAGTTTCTAGAATGAATGAGTGTGTAGAGTCAAAGGCAAAGTTTAATTAGTACAAAGAAGTTTTAGCGCGTTCCAAAGAAGTCCATTTTTACCTGCTGAGTTGCTAATTGTTGCCGAGTCACAGGGCGAGATATCAATTTTGTTGTCTTTTAACGAGTGCTAGTACGTTGGCAATCAAGTGGGTTAATCCCATTCATGCGTGCACCGAGCTGTATCCTCTATTCCGCAACGTATCCCGGCAAAGATCTTTGTTTTTCTAAGCCATTTATTTGCTTACTCCGTGAAAATCTTAGCCTGTTACCACGTATTTTTGTCAAGCCCTCAATAGCAGGCAAATACACGTCGCAGAAACAATAAAACGTACAGCTAAATATATATGGGAAACGGAGGGAAAAGACAGATGTGTTAAAAGAAACCGTGCGAAACAGTCAGTTGGCCAGTGGTGAAATCTTATAGTTCAGTGACAGGAAATATAATATCACCTACTGGTAACACTCGGCTCGTATGATAAACATTTTGGTGGACAATAATGATTGACAAACACCCACCTTTACAGCGCCTAGCATTTATACACGGAACAAGAACCAACCGTTCCGCCGAAAACGGAAATTCAACAAGTACGTCCCAGAGATGATATTTTCAAATCATACAGGGCATGTAATGTATAGAACCAATTCTGTGGTTTATTTTGTCTCCAAAAACGTTTCTGTTTTCAAACATAATTAACTTTTTTTGAATTTCAAACATGACTGCTTTTTCAAGATTTTCCATTTTGACACCTTTAATTCGTTTCAACGAAGATACAACCGGATTATTTCTAATAAAACACAAGTTTGATTTCGCGCGATTGGACATCGTATTTGTGCACATGTACAAAGAAAACTCTTTTCAAAATGGAATTATAATTACTAAAAGACTACTTATGTGTATTTTACTGAGTAAAACCGAGAAATTCCAAAGCAGATATAAAATTAATAGTAATGAGACCACTTCAATACATTTCACAAAATGAAATTTACACCGATCACAAAACCGAAAAGCACTCAAAATATACTTTACCAAGATCACAACTAGATGGCCTCGAGTGTTTCATAATTAACAAACTATAAAAAAATATCTGCTAGCTTCAGTATAAATATGGAAATTACACTCAAAGTACGTAGTTAAAAATTCATAGTCTTATCTCTGACGACTACTCAAAATGGGATAACACTTAATTACTGGTCCCTTGGGAAATGATTAGTTTTTTTCTCCTCCGAACTCTCGATCACGGTTTTCCGAAACCAAAGCGAGAGAGACATAAGCGTTTCCCAAGGGATCAGTATTTAATTAAGTGTATACTATAAAATTATAGTACATGTGCCATGGACAGTCTGATTCGATATCTGATTACCAGGAGCTTAGTCATTTATTTCCGATTTGAGACCAAAGCGCAGAATAACTAACGTGGGTGATTGTTTGAAATGAAAATGCATGCATGTTTTTACTGGAAGCCACGTGGTTGTCTGGTTTAAACATCTGCGATTGATCTGCTTGCGTACCATGGTGAAGATCAGAGACAGCCTCGAAATGCTGTCTTAATGGCGTTTGCCTCCGCTGATCCTGCGTAAGGTGTAAGAGCAAGCTGAATGGTATAAACCCTCAATATAAGAGTTTCCCATTGAAAAATAGTAATAATAAAAACGTTACTGTGTTTGGGAGAGTGGAAAAAAAGACCGATTTCGACCTGGATGAATTTGTCAATGAATTTGATGCCAGCTTGGTAACAAAACTCAAACAGGATTTCTTATTTGAATAATTGCTTAGCATAATTTATTGTGTCTCTCAATTCAGAGAATCTTATAAAAGTCTGTCGTTTTTGTATCAATTTTTCGAGGCACGAATTGTTGACAGCTAAGTGGATACGTTTCAATGCTTGACTTGAAACTTACGATGCGATCAAACGTGTTACGTCCTGAAGGATACATTTCGCAAATTCCCAAAGCGTGCACGAGCAATGTCGCTAAGTAAAAGATGCTGAATGTTTCATTTTAGAAAGGTACTAAGAAGAAATAAATTGTCCGAATCAATCAAACGTTACTTTAAAACAAATCCTCGTAAATTTCGTAGTTCTACCGACAGAGGATGCTCCTGTATATGTTTGGAGAGAGATAGAGGGTCTGAATAGGGTTGATGTAATCTCAATTATCAGTTAAGTTCTTGGCCATTTCTTAAGTATCATCAGTTAAGATTTCAACAGTTTTTCAGCTATCAGTGAATGTTGCAGATCTCGGATCTCAGCTTTCAATGAAAATGACGCCACTTCTCCTCTGACGGTCACCAGTTCTGACAGTTCTCAACTATTAAAACCCATCCAGGGGTAAACTAAATTAGTAAAATAATAGTACAGGGCTGTGGATTTGTTTTGAGTTTAATTATGCGCACCTACTAACAATTCGGGGGTCTGTCTATGTAAATAACATCAAATCAAATCACACCCAAAACAAAGCAGGCACACGTAGCTAGTGTAAATTAACTCAGCTCCTCAGTTACTTAGTTCCCGGCTGAGGGTTCCTTCCTATCGCTGCTAAGACGGAGTCTCTGGTGACTGCAAGACTGCGTGATGTCGAGTGACTGTTGCATGCATCTGTTTTGTGCCTTTGACAACATGTCACGGTCCACTAACTTTTTGTTAATTATAGCTCAGGGGCAAATGTAAAAAAGCGAGATGCAAGGTAATATTGAGTGTTTTCCGAGTATAGAAGTCCAAAAACAAATGAATTACCCAGACTCACTGTCACATATTTCAACAGCTTTTTGAGTTGGCAGTAAAACACCGAGGAAGTATAAAGCAAGAGCTTGTATCGACGTTCTTAACTCTTGAGCTTTGTCGCGCAGTCTGAATGGCGTACATAAAAGTCTGAGAACTAGTTGTTCTCTTACTTTTCTGAACCTGCAACATACGCAAAGAGCTCAGCCTTTGGAAATTTCAGGAAATAATAAACGAAAGATAAATATTTTAANAAAAACAAAACAAAACAAACAAACAAAATTATTTTGACACACGCACGTCATTTATAAAAGGCCGGATACTTTTAATACATAATTCACCGACGCAGAGAGAATACATGAGAATGGTCATCAATTCCAATCTTATTTTTTGTCCTTCAGGCTCAAGATCATGGTGGTATATACAGTTTCCCATATGAACTTTAAGCGGATGCATGTACAAGGCCCTTTAGCCCCAATTAGGACAAGAGATACCTCGTCTTCAAACGTAAGCCCAGTTACGTCATTTCACCTTATCCTACCCTGCCTGTGAATATATGTAATACGCTTTTATTTCTTTGTCGTTTAAACTGAAGTAGTACATTGTTTACAATGCATTCAGCTGTGAAAGCAAGAATTGCGTACAGCGGTCCTGTTGAACAGAGTGAATGGTAAATTTTGGCATACATATTTTTTCTTTTCTAATTCATCTAATTTTAGGGTATGTTTTTCTAGAAGAATTATGGTGTTTTTGTCAAGGCAGATATCAAAAGGTAACCACCTGCAACAGAGCTATTGTGTCCTTGCTAACAGACTGAAAGCTAAGTATTTTGACTAGACGAGTTATCTGTGTGTAATAATATTCTTACCTGTATATGTGTATTTCAGAACATGCAGCACAATGAGGACGGACCAGATACACAGTGGATAAAGCATTCTGTACATTCTAAAAAGCAAAATGGGAAAATAATGTAAGTCTCACATAAGCTTGTCTCTTGAATCCCTAGACCTTTAACGAATAATCGGCAAACAGGAACGAGAATATTTGTTAACTAGTAGAACCTTGAATGCATGTGTAAATGAGGCTTAACAGATGCATACTGGAATGTGCACATTTGTTCAGAGGTTCATCTGCTTCAGAGCTAAGAAAATGGTGAAACGTTTACCACCTACAGGATATAATTTGTTAACCTGTTTCCGTTTCCAAAATTGTTCAGTTTAGACGTCGTTCATCGACGAAAGGTTTCCGTAAAAGATCAGTCCTTTACCACGCCGAAATTTTTGCTGTTGCGTTTTGCGTAAGAAAAACAGAACATTGCTTGGTTACAATAGTAAAATCCTGATATACCGAAAAAAAACAAAAAAAACAAGCAGCAACGGAAAGTATCTGCCTTTGATTGTATTTCTAATGAAGTGTAAATCACTGATCAAAGGATAATCTTTTACAGCCAAGCTTAGTTAAGATGCTGTAAGGAAAACGAATTAGCGGAATGTTTCAGTTAACTGCAACATTAAGCTATAAAACCTAAAATCATTCAAATTGACAAGACGACACCATATAAAGAAATATTAGAGAATAACATTTTCAGTTCACATTTTCATACATAGTTCCATGCATACTCTTGCATTATGTTTAGCCTCCTGTGAAATAAGTCATTTCTTTAAGATTCACGTACATGAAAACGAAACAGCAGCGGATGGAGAGGCGAAAAAGTGGTGCGGATTGTCGGAAAGTGGTCTTGTGGGATGATAATGTGTTACGTTATGTCATATTTGCATGCCAGCCAGCCAGTCAGGTCTGTCAGCCAGCCAACGTGTGTACTGTGAAAGCACCATATCCTAATTAATGTTCTTTTCAGAATTTCTTTGACACCGTGACTCACTGCATTGGCATTCGTTAAGGATATGAGACTAACAAAGAGTTAGGAAATGCAATACAAATCTTATATTGAGCTGCGTTGGTTTCTGTTTCCGGTCACATAAAACCATCAGAATAGTATACATTTCGCATTTCTTTGCAATTATTCAAAATAACGCAGCACTCGCTGTCACTTACCAAAGAAGTCAAAAGAAACTTCTAGATTTTGTTGTTTTCATGATCGTGCCATATAGGCAGGCAGAGATAATTATTAAGTGGATGTGTCCGCGACTAGTCCAGGTGTAGATGAATAATGAAATAATGGATCTTATGATGTTAATTTTCCGCTGGGCTCAAATATTAGTTTGCTGTTATATCGATCATAACTCAAAATGAGATTAACTGCTCTTAGAAATGCCCGTTACTGTGTCGTCACGCAATGCTTCATTAAAGCGCCGCGTGACAAGAAGAGACCAGTAGAAAGACTAAGATAAACAATACAATCTAATGCAACCTTCCAAGTTTTTTAACTATTAACTCGATTGTCGACAACTTGTTGTCAATTCCCCGAGGATAAGCCTGATAAATTTTTGCCTTGCGAGGGCAAGGGATAATTAAAAGACTGTTTAAACTCTCTGGCTTTGACCTTATCGCGCGCGCGGACAGTTTTCCGTTCGCGCGTTCTTTCGCGTCACGCTGCTCGGACTAAGAACAAAGACGAGCTACTCATGGTCTCTTTCATCTGTTTCAGTATAAACATTCCAACATGTGTGTGAAATACATGTCCCGTATCTTTGTTAGTAGCAGAATTTACGATAAGCCCAAAGAAAATACAAACTAACACTGTCTACGGCAAGAAAGCATGGCTTAGCTGTCCTGTGGTGCACGATGAGGATAAGAAAGTAAGTACGACAAGAATGCATCAAATTTCGCTGACTTTCTTACTTTTGCATGAAGCATTAACGCATCAGCTTTGTATTGATCCGAGGCAATTAACTGTGGCATCTAATGGGACTCTAATAAGGGAAAGAATTAGAAAAAGAAAGTACCTGTGAATTTGCACAGGAGCAGGCCAGCTGAAGTCACTGACTCCTGAGTCTGTAATGTTCAGTGCAGATATAAAATGATGCAAAGGGCTCAAAGATCTGGCCGGAATACTTGCACAATAGAATTGACAAGATACAATGCGAATTTGACTTTGAAAAGAATAAGTGCCGTAGTTAGCAAATAAACTAATTTAACAATCTATTCATGAGGAGAATGGATATCATACTATTTCAAAGAAACTTTTATTCAACCTATTCATTCGTTTCCAAATAATGTTAGAATAAACTAAAAAAAAGAAAAAAAAGCTAAATTGGAACTTTAAACTCTGAGTCCACTAATGAGAATATGCTTTCTTAGATGTAAAGTTAATTCCTTTTTTACTTAGAAATCAATAAAAATCGACACCTGTTTAACTTAGCAATATATAATCAATAGGAAACGTGTTTTTCTTATTTATCTTTCCTTATTTATCTGCGATTCCATTTTTGCAGTTTCTAGAATGAATGAGTGTGTAGAGTCAAAGGCAAAGTTTAATTAGTACAAAGAAGTTTTAGCGCGTTCCAAAGAAGTCCATTTTTACCTGCTGAGTTGCTAATTGTTGCCGAGTCACAGGGCGAGATATCAATTTTGTTGTCTTTTAACGAGTGCTAGTACGTTGGCAATCAAGTGGGTTAATCCCATTCATGCGTGCACCGAGCTGTATCCTCTATTCCGCAACGTATCCCGGCAAAGATCTTTGTTTTTCTAAGCCATTTATTTGCTTACTCCGTGAAAATCTTAGCCTGTTACCACGTATTTTTGTCAAGCCCTCAATAGCAGGCAAATACACGTCGCAGAAACAATAAAACGTACAGCTAAATATATATGGGAAACGGAGGGAAAAGACAGATGTGTTAAAAGAAACCGTGCGAAACAGTCAGTTGGCCAGTGGTGAAATCTTATAGTTCAGTGACAGGAAATATAATATCACCTACTGGTAACACTCGGCTCGTATGATAAACATTTTGGTGGACAATAATGATTGACAAACACCCACCTTTACAGCGCCTAGCATTTATACACGGAACAAGAACCAACCGTTCCGCCGAAAACGGAAATTCAACAAGTACGTCCCAGAGATGATATTTTCAAATCATACAGGGCATGTAATGTATAGAACCAATTCTGTGGTTTATTTTGTCTCCAAAAACGTTTCTGTTTTCAAACATAATTAACTTTTTTTGAATTTCAAACATGACTGCTTTTTCAAGATTTTCCATTTTGACACCTTTAATTCGTTTCAACGAAGATACAACCGGATTATTTCTAATAAAACACAAGTTTGATTTCGCGCGATTGGACATCGTATTTGTGCACATGTACAAAGAAAACTCTTTTCAAAATGGAATTATAATTACTAAAAGACTACTTATGTGTATTTTACTGAGTAAAACCGAGAAATTCCAAAGCAGATATAAAATTAATAGTAATGAGACCACTTCAATACATTTCACAAAATGAAATTTACACCGATCACAAAACCGAAAAGCACTCAAAATATACTTTACCAAGATCACAACTAGATGGCCTCGAGTGTTTCATAATTAACAAACTATAAAAAAATATCTGCTAGCTTCAGTATAAATATGGAAATTACACTCAAAGTACGTAGTTAAAAATTCATAGTCTTATCTCTGACGACTACTCAAAATGGGATAACACTTAATTACTGGTCCCTTGGGAAATGATTAGTTTTTTTCTCCTCCGAACTCTCGATCACGGTTTTCCGAAACCAAAGCGAGAGAGACATAAGCGTTTCCCAAGGGATCAGTATTTAATTAAGTGTATACTATAAAATTATAGTACATGTGCCATGGACAGTCTGATTCGATATCTGATTACCAGGAGCTTAGTCATTTATTTCCGATTTGAGACCAAAGCGCAGAATAACTAACGTGGGTGATTGTTTGAAATGAAAATGCATGCATGTTTTTACTGGAAGCCACGTGGTTGTCTGGTTTAAACATCTGCGATTGATCTGCTTGCGTACCATGGTGAAGATCAGAGACAGCCTCGAAATGCTGTCTTAATGGCGTTTGCCTCCGCTGATCCTGCGTAAGGTGTAAGAGCAAGCTGAATGGTATAAACCCTCAATATAAGAGTTTCCCATTGAAAAATAGTAATAATAAAAACGTTACTGTGTTTGGGAGAGTGGAAAAAAAGACCGATTTCGACCTGGATGAATTTGTCAATGAATTTGATGCCAGCTTGGTAACAAAACTCAAACAGGATTTCTTATTTGAATAATTGCTTAGCATAATTTATTGTGTCTCTCAATTCAGAGAATCTTATAAAAGT